TGATGATCAGTGTCGTTTTCCGGCCGATCGTCAGGTACGAGTGATTCTAAAAGATATTCTGCTGTTTCTTCTACTCCTGTGGTATATCTGTTATTAATTTTGATGTTCTGTATGTATGCAAGGTCGATTGATCTATTTGCCTTAAATTCGTGATACAAAGGTGACCACGGGCCCTCTCTATCGAGTCTATCGACAAGTTTCTGAATTAAGTTTCCCTTCGATTTTTCCACTGCAGCTCTGAAGTGGGACCTGGCAACTCTAAGAGCAATGAGAGCATTATTGTACAAATCTCCTGTTACGTTGTGTTTTTTAAAATTGTTTAATTTTCTACGAGCTTTCCGGTAGCTTCTACGTAGTTCGGCTAATCTATCATTCCACCAATCACATCTACGAGTGTTAGTGATAGATCCGCGACCAATAGATACATCAGCGCAGTATGTGAAAGTTTCTGATAGTATTTCTGCGCTTTCCTCGGCTGATAAACTACTGCGACTGAAGTCTTTGGTATGAGTTGCAAATAGTGAACCAAACAAAGCCCAGTTCGCACCTTTAGTTTTATATCTTAAATTAAAAGGAGCCCTTTGTGGATCCCGTGCAACCCTTGGTATGAATTCGTACACGATCAAGCGGTGATCACTACAGGATGCGTCCGGGAGGACACGCCATCCGGATATCGAGACGTCGCCGCGCGTAAGCGTCACGTCAATAGAAGACTCACCCATTGGGTTGCAAAAAGTTGGTGGTGCATCGGGGGTATTGTGAATAGTAAGATTCATTTCCGCAATGAAATCTTCAACCGCACAACGTCGAACCGTGTCGGTTGAACGCAACTTGCCATACCATAATAAAGATGACGCATTGACATCAGCGCCAATGATAATTTTATGTCCCACGAGGAACTGCAAGACGTAACGTAAGTGATGTAAGTGAGGATCAATAGGATGTGAATATTGAAAATAGCAGTTCACTACGTAAACCTTACAGGTAGAGGATGAGATCTCAGCGACGGCGCAGTGTGACGTCATAAGATTACGCAAAGATGTTACCGTAAAATTAGAACTTGCAACATATATCGCAGCCTGCGAACGGCAGTCAAGCTGTACTACATTACGACGCAAGCGAGCGCTCTGATATTGTTCTTGTATAAGGACAATGTCTAACTTTTGTTCTAAAATTAAACGGTTTAATTCTGATGTAGCTATTTTATCGTTATGAAGATTTAACTGCCCTATCGAAATATTATCCATTACTTAGTAAGTTACTCTATAAACTTTTTTTTTTTTTTTTTTTTTTTTTTAAGCTGAATTAAACTATTCAGTAATTGGTATTTAATATTAGCTGCTCCAGTTTTAATTTGTATGTGGCACAGTCGTGTGAGCCGCATCGATGGTCAGATGGTTTTTTGAACCGCCTGCACTGTGCGCACGTAGGCTTAAAATTTGGTGTGTCTTTATCTGGACAAGCTCGCGTTTCGTGTGCGGCGGCGCAATTAGCACAAGTAGGGGTTTTAATGGTGCAAAACTTTTGTACATGACCGAATTGCTGACAATTTAAGCAACGAACTACTTCTATATCGTCTATGAATCGACAAGTGGCCCAGTCTATATAAAATTTATCTTTTGTGTTGGCTAGATGTTTCCGAACTGCTGCCTCCAATTCTAAGCCTATCCATTGACGCCCATTTTCTAGTTTACGATGCCTAACAATTTTGGTTGACTTAATAAAATCGTTCTTACTTAATTTTAATTCATCCTTGATATTCTGACGGTATAAAGCTGTTAGGAAGGCACGATCTTCCATAGAACCGGGTACGTCTTTTACAATTATACGGGGCTTTCGGCCTTTCGGTTTTTCTAATCGTAAACCTACTGATTTAATGGCGTCTACAGATTCCAGTTTCTTAAGCTGCCGTTCGTTAGCTACACGTAACACGACGCCTGCCTTAGAGGTTTTTTTAACGCCTACAATTTGGAAACCCTCATCGCTCGGTTTAATAGCCTTCATAAGAGCTTGTTTCGTTGCTGACGAGGTCGCATAGTCCGCTAAGCGTTCCGTAGTGGGATAGGCAATAACACAAGGCCTAGGAACGCGCGCTTCAGTAGGTACCGGGCACGGGGAGATTTAGGTGGTAAGCGAAGCTTAAGTTTGTCCGCGTACGTTAAACTCGTTTGTTGAGTTGCGATACCTTCCATTTGTCGCTCAAAATTCGCTAACTTCGCTTCGTTGCTAAAGGATTTTATTGCTAACATTGATACGATACCGATAATTCGTTGAGTAATATCCATAATCGCCGTTTTATTACCTACATTCATCCGAGATCCCTGATCATTAACTAATTCATTAATTTTTGCTAAGTAATCGGTGGCCTGTGACACTAAGTCACAGTAATTGTACTCCCCACAGTTATCACGACCGGTAGGAGACGAAACATTTCCACTTAAGTCCGAATTAATAATGCGTCTACGGCTTCCGTCTTTCGGCGTGAAATCCGCAGGTGACACTTCGTTAAATGTCATTTTCCCGGTTGGTGTTAAAAATTCACTTGTACCGCCGGGATCCGGCAACTCGCTAACGACCGACATAGCCAAACAAAGACACACCAATCAACAATTAAGAAAAAAAAAACAAGCTTAAAAATAAACAATACGCAGAGAAAAATCAATGTAAACAAAGGATACTACCTACCCACTTTTAGTAAGAAAATAAATTTACTCACCAATAGTCGTAATAAAAGAATTCGGCACTATATTTATGTTTAGAAACAATAAAAGTTACTGAAATTCTTTAGAAACACTATACACAACCTTTAGCCGCCACATAAAAGTCACATAAAAGCATAGAAAACAATATTAAAATTGTTAGCATACGAAGTCACACGTTAGTCGCACGGTGCCGCGAAGGGAAGTCTATGGCCGGTAGTGACAGATGTTTCACCGCGGTCGCATCCTTCTGCGAGACGTCATCTCGCAGAAGGAGGCGGCGGATAGGGCTCGGAAGGACAACCTCCACTCGGACCCAATCCGTCGCCGTCGAACCAGGCGGCGGAGGCGCGCCGCCCTGAGTGTGGCCGCGGGTGGACGGGACGGGTTTTCCTAAATGGAAAATGTACCCGAAGATGGTGCCCGCGCTGTTGCGGGCAGGCGCTAGGAGGGGTCCGGATGTCTTAATAACAGCAGTTCCCGGATCCCTCCTATTACAGGCGTAGAGAGGCACACCGTAGGGTTTTAGTCGGTCCGATTCCGACACACCACCCCGCCGCAAACCCCGGTAGGGTCCACACGTAAAAAAAAAAGTGGTAACTGTTTTGGCTTGGTTACTCTAATACATTTGTTAAATTCTTCTAAAAGAACAAAAATCAAATGAAACACTATTTGGAAAGAGGCGATGTTGACTATAAATACTTTATAGCTACAAAGAGGGAACGAGTGAGGCTGTCCATTATCCTAAGAGGATCCTAAGCAGGTTTGAGATGGTGATCGACGAGACGTGGCCCTCTCCCTCATGCCTCTCTAAAACCGAAAAGGGGACAGTCCACATACTATTATATTTTTGTAATAAATTAAGCCTAAAGCTACACTGATATATGTCCGACTCTTATAAGCGAATCGGTGCAAAAATTATTTAGTAGGCGTTATTAATTTAATGCTTGTAGGTTTATTCGTCTATTTTCTAATAGTTTATGTGGTCTATTATGATAATTTTATTGGTCAAACAAGACTTGGGATTCCGGTGTTTTTTTTTTAGAGAAAGTTATATACGCTAAAGAGTCGGCAGAATGGGAACGGGAGAGGGCCAGTACTCTCCCGTCCCGAAGAAGTGGCACCAGGCGCCGGAGAGTGCAGAACAACCCTTTGCATTCACTGATATGGTTGCCTATGACGGCCAAGGTCTGAGACACTTACACCTGACTCACATGTGACGGAACACGATGTGGTTTTAGTTGTTTCGATTCCGACGTATCACTTCACCGTGAGCCTCGGTAAGGGGGTTTAAAGCGAGTACACAGTGAAATTATCATTTCGTTTGACTTTTCAAAGCAGATTCAACAAATATCTATCATTCAAAATATAAATGTTTGTCAATTCCCATCTGGGTTATTAACGAAAATAGCGGAAATATTATATCTAATGTGTCTTTGTCTAAGTATAATTTAAAAGTATTTTTTGCATTTAATATTTAGCATGTTATAAGTTTTAGTTCATCTAAGTATTTCCTGAGATGTGTAAGTATGATGTAAATGAGTGATGTTATTTACTTAAACTGAATAATTATCCGACAACCTTTGGGCGCCGCCGCAATTCTACAGACTGTAAGTCAAGAGTCGAGTTGTCGTATATCGTCATAGCCGTAGAATAATGTCGGATCTGAGATTTATTTAATTTTACAGGGCAGGATTTATTGAGCTTTACATTTTAAATAATTGTTATTTTTTTAATTCTAAATTTGTAATTATGGAAATTCGCATACAAGTGAAAAATAGGGTTTGTTTTTAAATGCAATAAAAAACAACTAATAATCTAGCAAAAATCTAGAAAAATCACATGCTTCATTTTAATTTGAGCGCCTATCGAACAAACACTGAATAATTTATATCTAAAATACGTATAATTCTTTCTTAAATGTAGTAATAATATTTAGACAATGTATTAGTATCCAAATATGGCTAGGAAATATAGGAGGATATGGCTAGGAAGGGAGTAAACAGTGAGATGACGCATGACAGAGTAGAATGGAAAAATCATACATAATGCGCCGACCCCAAATAAAATTGGGTAAAGGGTAGGCAGATGATGATGTATTAGTATCCAAATATGGTAAAAAATGGATTTCGTATTTTTTTCAAAATCGACATATTCCACGAATATGATGATATGCTGATAGAGTACATTACCTTATACGCTTAGTGCTTTCCAGGTTAGTTCAAGCACTCAGTAATATATCGTACTATCTATAGTATTGTATTATACTATGTCCTAGAATAATATTTTCATTATTATTACCTTAACTCTCATACCAGGTGCAGGTGTCCCACAAGAACCTACTTTTTCACCACTTGTCAGGTCGACTAGGCAGGCCATAGTTACTTCTGTTAAGCCATATCCTTGTTTTATAAAATCTATGCCAGTCCTGAGAAGAAAAAAATCTTGTATAATACTAAGATATCAAACATGTATTAATTAATCCTCTTTGTAGGAGTCAAGATATCAATTGAAAATGTCTTTCAGTACCTAAAAATGCTTGCCCTGACCCTATTAACCCTATTTCTAACTTTCCAGCAGGACTTGAATTTCTGTAGAGGTATAGATTATCAGTCATAAATCTTGTATAGACAGACAACGGTCTTTTTCTGAATGAAACTACCCTATTGTATTATATAAACTGTGAAAATTTCTAAATTATCGGATGAGCGGCACGGCAAAATAAGAAATAAATAACATAATTTTTATCTCTAAGCTTGGCTTACGTTATAATAAAATAGGTGCTAAGTTTTTATGGATATCATAAATAGGCTGAGGTATAAGCAGAGGCTCAGAGGCATTATAAGTATTGCTAATGATAAAACCATTTTATCGTGTGACTGTTATCAATACATTGACATACGAAATAAATACTTTGTACTTCTTTTTAAACAAACACACGCACGGAAACATTTTATCTTCAAAATACTTTCCCGTTTGAACGGGACTGTCACGCTTTTTAGTTCTCAGTTCCAGTTCCCCGAGAAGGGCGTCAGGACGTAAAATTGTCCGATAGTCTGGCCAATTATTGAAAATTTGCAGATTATTTGGATTTTCTTTGAATATATTTTATGTCTGGCACAAATGCACCATAAGAAAGGGCGTTTTCTCTGATGAACAAGTTGTGGATAACACACAATAAATCAGTGTTGTTTTCAGTAAAAAAAAGGAGTAAAACAAGACATACCAAAACAGTCGAAACGCGACCAACGGTAATCTCTAGTTGTGAAGAAGAATAAATTATGAAAGAAGTTAGGAAAGATTTATCATTGCCTAGCTTTTTCATCTTCTTCATAATTTTTTCCTCTTGATGCTATCTACATTTGATAAAACTACCTTTTAGATACTGCAGTCTGAATTTCTTTGGATAATGGTGCAGCTCCACACCAAACTTCAACCAGGGATGATAAGTCATATTTAAGGACAAGAGGGTGTTTTGCCAGGAACACAGCCAGAGGGGGGACTATTGTCGTCATGTTTATCTGAAAATGTAACATAAGGCCGTTAATAAACATGCGTTTTGGCAGTAAAATGTTATTTAAAGATAAACTACGCTCATAAAAACATGACGTGTTCATGATTCTTGCTGTTGAACAATAGAAACTCATTATAATTACAAAACATGATTACAACACGACCTCTGTGGATTTAAATGCATGAATATACATATTTTCATTGATTTCAGTATTTTTATGTTTAACATGTATGTATTTGTGAATTTTATGTTTCTTTTTGAAAATATAGTTCTGTTTAGGTTAGGTTAATAGTTAGGTTATAGATAAAAATGTAAGTGTTTGACAACATAGCGGTGCGGCGATAGCGAATGGGTAATGTCGGACTTGCGGACAAGTGGTTGCAGGTTCGAAGTTTGAACTGGAACTGGATAGGGTTTGAACTTCGAAACCTATCCAGTACACTACTAATTCCACAGCTTTTTTTTTCAAAAAAAAAAAAGTATATTTTGTTAGATGTAGAATATTGAAAATAGTTTTTAATTATGTTTAATGGTTTTGCAACATCTGACTGGCCTGGTTTAATGTAGCTCTGTCTGCTAAACCAGAGGTTGTGAGTTCGATTCCCACCCAAGACAAGTAATTGTATGATAAGCACGATCATTTGTTCTATGTCTGGGCGTTATTTATCTATAATAATTATGTTTGTATTCAGAAGTATTTAAGTATGGTTATCATAGCACAGGCTCTACTTAATTTGGGATCAGGCGCCCATGTATGAGAAGAGAAGAGAAGTTCTTATTATATTATAAATTTAACTTTATATTATGCATGTGATTTTTCACTGATTATTATAAAATGCATACATATTGCATATTCCAAAATCAACTATATAGTTAGTTATTCTATATTTAATTGTTATTCAGCATACTTACTTTAAATTTTTGTATGGTCTCCAAGTACTGTTCTTGTTCAAATCGTATAAGAAACACTATTTTCATATTCATTGCCATCACAGCAAGTGTGGTGATAAAACCATATGCATGGAACCATGGTATTAGTGACAATCCAGTTACAATTCCATTGTTTTTCTTTTGTTGCACATAATCAAAGTAATACCTGAAATTAGTTTATTAAATGGAAATTAAATGATTATGCAAATACATATTATACATCCTCGATTTTAATTTGTTTATTTGGACTTTTTGTAGATAACAATATGTTCCATAATGTGAAATTATGTGGTTGATTAGATTAAAAAAGTATGTGGATTGCACATATCTGATTTTATTGTATTAAGAGATTTTTTCTGTTATCAAACTGTGATAGAATATGATAAGCTTTTTGAATATAATTCCACTACTTATTGGGATTATTTTCACAAAGTGGAAAAAGTATACATTTGTAGAAAAATAATATTAACTTCACACATGGCAGTATGAGCCCAACCTAGGCAGAGCCTGTGCTATGGTACCCAAACCCGTCTGAGGTTTGGGTACAATAGCTCATTATCATACTTAAATATTTTTAATTACATGCATATTATAAAAAACAGGCAGTTGAACTTTTTCATTGAATCCTTAATTTAATTAATTCTTTTATTTAATCTGCATTTATTACTGGAATTTGCATTGTTGTATTGCTGTTTTTTTTGTATATTAAATTTAAATTTCCTATGTACGACATTTACGAAGTAACATGATGTACTATTATTGTATATTTGTTAATCTGTGAACAATTTTGTGGGTCACATGTTTATACGAGTAAATGTGGTATATGAATTGTATTTAGTTATAATCTAACATGTAACTGTTCTTTGTTCCAATAAATAAATAAATAAAATTATAGTTATATTACACCTAGACACAGATCAAATGATTTATTTGTCCAGGTTGGGAATGGAACTCACAATTCCTTTTTCTACAAATGTATATATTCAAAGTAATGTTTTCAAATTGTGATCTTCAGCTATTATTTTGAACTTTACCTCATATGAGCTGATAGAGTGAGAAAATTGATATGAGTCAACATCACTCCCTTTGGTAATCCGGTTGTGCCTGAAGAGCACATCACGGCAACTGTGTCTTCTAACCCGTTGACATCAACAAGAGTGAAGTCGTCCACATTCACATGTTCTTTAATGAGATCATCATACATGATACAATTAGGCACTACATCATATTCGCCGAACACAATAAGCTTGCAGTCCAAAGACAGTTCAGTGCAACAGTCATGAATGTTTTGTGATGTAATAGGAGAAGTGAAGATGAATTTAGGTTTTGTAATTTTTAGTAGATGTGAAATCTCTCCTGAAAAAAAAAACAATTGTTAAACATTAAAAAAAAGGATTTAAGTATTCTATCAGTCAATTTAGCCTTCATAGTACAAGCTCTGCTTAGTTTGAAACTTGATGGTGTTGTGTGTCAGATGTTCGAAATATTATTATTATTACATTTTTTAATGTAACTAAGCTATTAAAGAAAGTGGAAAAGTAGGGTATGTATGCCAGAGGGCTAATTCTCGTAATAAAAGATCTCAATTCGGTCTGATCAACTTTATTATTACTTATTTTCATATTAAGTATTAAACATCCAACCTTGACTGTAATGTGATTATATCGTATTGTAAATGAAAATTGAATCAGTAATCTGCTAGTCTTAGTAATACTTTACTACGAAATACCTTTTATGATGGTAGTGTGATCGAAAGTTGATCGGAACTGATTTTTTTTTATGGCCTTCAGACCTCTGCAGATGGATAGAGCTGGCAATGCATAAACACACAGAGGTTTGATGGCCCTATTTATCAGCAGTAATAAGCTAGTGCAAGTAAATCATAGTCTTTAGGAGACAGGAGCGGTCCTAATATAACACTTTTTAATGAAGGAATGACTTATAAAACTATCAATTATGTTACTTTCTCAAACACTTTTAAGAAGTAGGTATTTGTTATGAGTCCGTTGTTCTAGTGGTTAGTGATGCTGTCTGCTAAGCCGGTGATTGTGGATTTCAGAGATTCCAAGAGTCAGTCTGAGAACCATAGTACAGCCTTTGCCTAGTTTGGATCAGACTGCCATATGGTAGATATATGATGGTATTGTTATTATTTGGGAATCACAGACAGATCAGAATAACCAAACAGAACCCATCTTAAACAATTCTGAGAGTTACATTACCTTCTAATATGTTTGCTACTAAACATATGAAGAAGTATATAAGTTAATATTTAAACAATTACCAGGTGAGTATGTTATGTTGAGCGTAGATAGTATTCCACCACAATATATTACAGCAAGAGCAGCTGCCACAAACTCAAACCTGTTCTCACTGCTCAACCCCACAAGATCACCTTTTCTCAAGCCTAGCTTTTGTAAACTGACAGCAACATTAACACTGTGTTGAAGTATCTGATTGTAGGTAACAGACTCTTCTGTTTCAGCATTTACCTAAAAGAAATTTTCAAACCCAAATATTCAAAAGTATTGCCAAATAAATTAACATTTAAACAGTGTTAGTGGGACAGCTAATTTTAAATATTAGGATAAACTTGTAATATTTAATCATAGGGTCCAATAATATTATGATAATAAAACAGAAGAGGAATAAAAATAGTAAACCATTCTTTTTTTTTTTCAAAATATTATTTAGCTATTACAGTAATTATCTATCATTATAAGACAGTATATATTTCTAAATTAACAATTACAACAATTAATATAAGTCACATAAAAAACAGTTTAAGTTATCAAATTACGTAAACTTACTAGAGCTATTTGATTGCCTCCATTTTTGAGTTGATCAAATAAAAATTGACCATACGATAAATGAGCCGGAATGCCTCGTTCTTCAGGTCCTGACACCACATTATTATACACAGTAACCGGCATTTTGTAGGACTAAATATAAGCGTAAAGGTTGGTCTACCTATAGGCCGATTATCACATAAATGTACGTTAAGTACTTATCTTTGTACCCGGCCTAATCTATCGGACGATTTGATTATAATAGATAATAATTAGGCATATTTATACAAGTAGATTCTCATATCAGTTGACAAATTTCCCGGTTCCCTCTTATCAAATCAACTGAAATTGATAGCTACTATTAATAAATTATGACCTGCTGTCTAGTGTTACTAGTGTTGTATTTATAAGTCATTCAATTCTAAAATCGATTTCAATTATCGATTTTTGGTGTGATGTTATAATATTTGTAAACTATAATTATGTTGTACTGAATAAAAAGAAAAATTGAATTTAATAAAAGTATACATTTAAATTTATATTTTAAATATACAGTATATTGATGGAAATCATGTAATTTATGTAAATATTTAATTGATAAATTACAGTAACCTAGAAACGAAAGATTTCAACCTGCAACCATTAAAGCAAACCTTAAATTTGATTCACGTGCTAAATTATCAATTTTTTTATTGAAAACAAAAACTTTAAAACAGCTTGATTTTATCATAAAACGCGGTTAGTACACATACAAGTAAACGAGTATGAAATATTCTAACAAAGTTTATTGTCTTTTTATTAGTAATTAATTTTATTAGTATTAAAGTTTTATTAGTAATTTATTTTATTATACTAATACGTTGCGCCATAGGATTAAATGGTTCGATTGAATGGAATGTGGAGGATAGCGCCATCTAGTATCGACTCGAGTACATCTATTAAGATTATGGTAACACAATCTTATTAGATGTACTACAATACGAGTAGTTCTGATCCTTACAGCGCTAGATTTCGCTGCAAGCAACGCGAAACTGATTCTGGAATATTCTTGTTGTCTGGAACGGACTATCAATCTTTCTAGTAAAATTCAAAAGCGCTATATAAGCGGGGCGTGTTGGCCGTTTGGGACAGTCTCGTTTTACGACACAGCGAATTAACATCGGAGTGAATTTCTAGAGCGACTAATGGGATATATAGTGATTTCTAGTTTATTATAGTAAGTGTTTGTAAATATAGTGTATGAAATTTTTTAGTAGTATTAAAGTTTTAGTAGTAATTGTGCCTTTGTATTTTAGGTCAAAATATGTGATTTTAAGTTTTTAAATATTCCTTCTTTCTTTCTTTAATATCATAAGTCCCATGATTCTCGGAATACTTCTCTTCGAATTTCCTCTCTAATGACAACGCTACTACTTGCTCGCTGATTAGTGTTCCACTAAATGTTGATCAAGCCTGTGACATCTCCACAGTTGAAGTTAAAACTGAACAAGTCCTAAAGCTCCTAAAAGGCCTTGATGTTTCTAAGGCGGCTGGCCCGGATACTGTACCGGCAACTTTTTTGATATCGTGTGCCAATGAACTGTCTACTCCCATTACTCTGCTCTTTCGGCGTTCGCTGAATGAGGGTGTCATGCCTTCCATATGGAAGTCTGCACTTGTCACACCTATACATAAAAAAGGATCGAAGAGTGAAATTGTTAACTATAGGCCCATCTCTAAATTATGTCTAATAGCAAAACTAATTGGGCGTATTGTTTTCAGTCAACTATATGAGGCAATTAAATCTGTGTTTATTCCTGAACAGCATGGTTTCTTAAAGGGTAAGTCAACTGCTACCAATCTGGTGGTATTTAATGAATACTTAACCAGCAACATGGACAGTGGCAATCAAGTTGATGCGATCTATACTGACTATAGTAAGGCTTTTGATCGTATAGACAATAAACTCTTACGGACCAAACTTCTAGATCTTGGTATCCATGGTAAACTACATAACTGGTTATCTTCTTATCTTCTGAACAGGTCTCAGGCAGTAGTGCTAAATGGTTACACTTCATCATGGGTTAATATACCGTCTGGAGTTCCTCAAGGTTCTCTGTTAGGCCCGCTCTTATTTGTTATCTTTGTTAACGACATTGGTTCCTGTTTTATGCATTCCAATTTTCTTTTATTCGCTGATGATATGAAATTTTTTAAGACAGTTAACAACTTGACTGATGCAAAATTATTGCAAGAAGATCTTCAGCGACTTGACACATACTGTTGCTATAATAACTTGGACCTCAATGCTTCTAAATGTTTCTCCATGAGCTTCACACGTAAGCGTCAAATACTCCATTCTCATTATGTTATCAAGGGCCATATATTGGAGAGGAAAACTTTACTTAGGGATCTGGGAGTGGTGCACGACAGCAAACTTCTATTTGATAGGCATGTCAATCACATAGTTGACAGGACTTTTAGAGCACTGGGTTTTATAATTCGTTGTTCCAGTGATTTCAGAAATATGAAAACTATCAAAGTTTTGTACTGTGCTTACGTGCGGAGTCACTTGGAATACGCTGTTCAGATTTGGAACCCATATTACAGTTGTTACTCCCATGAGATTGAGAAAATACAGAAGAAATTTATTCGTTACCTGGGTTTCAAATTTAAACTTTGCCACTTGGTCGATCTTACATATGAGCAACGCTGTGTAACATTACATCTTCTACCCTTGTATATTAGGCGTAATATTTCAGACCTAGTATTCCTGCTCAGTCTTGCTTAGGGCAAGATCGATTGCCCTAATCTACTCATGTATGATTAGGTTAAGAACACCCGTTAGAAGATTGCGTGACAACTCTTTACTTTATCTTCCGTCGAGCCACACCAACTTCAGAAAAAATAGCTATCTGCCTAGAGTTTTCGCCGAGTTGAACAAGCTAAATAGTGACAGTGGTTTTGATCTTTTTAGTCTAAGTACTGGTAGTGCTAGATCCTATTTAACCGTCAGATTTGCTGATAGTGTTGCCTGCACTACTGCAATGTGAGCTGTGACTCTTGGTTCTGCATGTGTTTCAATTTGTTTTCATCTATTTACATCTTTAGTAATTTAATTAGAATGTAACTTAAGTAGAATGTTTCTTGTGTATCTGTGGAAGCTTGTTAATGGTTTTTCAACAACTAAATTACTGATGTACTTGTACTGTAGCTGTAAGCTCCCCAAATTAAAATAAAATAAAATAAAATGTGCAGTAGAGGACGTCTACAGTACATCTCTATCTCAATTGGTCTCGAGCCTCGTGCTCAACTTCCCTCAATTCTATCTTGCCGACGTTCTTCGCCTCATCAGCCAGTGTTTGCTTTGGACGACCTCGCTTGCCCTGTGGTTTCTACTGCAGTGACATATTCATCGTTTCTTACTTTATTATTGTTGACACAACTGTCAGGGGCCAGCTTAAAACTAGTGGTGTGCTTTAGCGCACCGTGAACTGAGCTGATAGCCTTTGCTACACATTACGCCTAATGTTTAATTAATGAATATTTTAATAATGTACCTTGTGTCCGTGTTTCATGTTTCTCAGTGTAACAAATATAAATGGCTTAACTGCCTATTCGGGGATGTAATCACGTTACTTCGGAGAATGTGGCCAATCCATTTGGCGCGTTTGATCTACTGCTCGATCGGAGTAACATGACATTATTCCAACAGTTGTTGGACATGCGAAGAGGGCATTTCGCAGCTTATTATTTCTGGTATCCTCTAAGATATAAGATGACATAGGTAGTATAGTTTCTTGTGATCTTGTTTCTGAAAACATTATTGTTCTGAAAACAAGACACACACGCACAACATACAATAAGTTAACTTTTTTTGGTGCTTTTGCATTGTTGTTGGTTTAATTTTTATTAACATTAATTTATTTTGATTTCTTAGATGTATTTTTTGTGTTATACAATGTTATTAAATTATTATTTTTTATTTATTGAAAATAAAACTGCATTGAATTATTTATAACTAGGTACTGTAGATTTACATACATATCACAAGTTAGTAACACTGTTTTTTGGTTTACTACCAAAAAACAGTGTTACTAAACATATACTATAAACTAAACATATCACAAGTTAGTAACACTGTTTTTTGGTTTACTACCAAAAAACAGTGTTACTAACTTGTGATATGTATGTAAATCTACAGTACCTAGTTATAAATAATTCAATGCAGTTTTATTTTCAATAAATAAAAAATAATAATTTATATACAAATGATAGATGATTATACTATTTGTCATCTAATAATCAATTCTTATATACAATATATTAAATGTTCGTAACATGATGTGATGAAACAACTTCAGTATTTTTTAATGTAACATAATCGGGTAATTTTTTTAATCGATTATGTAACATTTTTGTCCCTTTCTGTCTTTTTATCTAACTGTTAAAAGAAATTTGCCTACAGTAAAGAACACATTAAATTTAATTAAAGTGTAGGTGTAGCATGATGTGACTCCACGAGGCTCTGCTGATATCAATATCGATTATACTATGATATCTCAAGTTTAAATCAGTGCAGGTTTATCTTTAAGAACACAACGAAAGGCAATCTAGCTAACCCGCTTCGTCTGCATCTCTCAAAAAGAATAATTAATATAATTATGCCCGTTTTTTTCAATTATTTTGATGCTCGGTTCCATTGGTCGTAGCGTGATGTAATATATAGATAAAATCACAGAAACCGTAATAATAAGACACTAGATAGTTAAGATTAGTTCCAAAATCGAAGTCGCCACATCTTAACACACACACAAAATACAAACAAAAAGGTATAAGACACACTTGCAAAACAACGGTGAAATATATAGGGCACAAACTAAAATGAACCTTAATTTCCAGGAATTACATTGCATTTAAATCCAATGTATTATGTGGCACCACTACAATCTCCTTCGATGTATGAGAATCCCTGTAAACAAAGTATTGACTACTTTCTTCAAAGGTGTCGATATTTTTTTTATAACAAAAAAAAAAATGGATTACCTACAAGTAGCAATGAAAACCATAGATATATACTATTTTTTTCAATATTTTAATAGTTATGATACTTATAAAGGAATAGTACCTATTATAATAAAATAATAATAATATTTGTTTCGGAG